TTCAGCATTAGGGCCCCCGCCGTCGGGGTAGACAAATGTCCCTCACATGTTGATAGCTGGCAAATGTAGCCATCCGTGTGTTTACTTACATATATTTACGTAAGTATGTAGGGCTGCACAGTGCTATGCTCACACATGCCACAAGCAGAAACACTGCAAACAAATCACCCTCATGGCACGGTCATAATCAAGAGATTTATATTTTGTTGTATACTTTGAAAACTATAAATCAATCATATGCATACCCAAGGGCTTATAAAACAAAACCCTTTTTTTATAAATTCAATTCCTTCTTAAACATAACTTCCGATTCCCTGAGTGCATTCCAGCTGAGAACCTCGGGAAAACTCGCCCTGTCCCAGATGTCGAAAAATGTGAGTCAGCGGAGCTGGCAGCGGCTTGAAGGAGTTCCGCAGACTGGCAAAAAAATAATATATTTATATATATGTATGTAGTGTGTGGGAGGAATAGGGGAAACCCAGACAAGTTTTATGCTGCCAACATGCCGCAATTACAACATGCTGGGCCAACAGACAGAGGGAGTTTCCTTCGCCTAGACTATGGTACAACATTTTGCGGTGCGGTGCTGTGCGGTACTGTTCTGTGGGTAAAACAGCAAACTTTTCCCATTTTCATTTCCATTGCCACTGCGACAGCACGCACTCTCTCTCCCTCTCTCTCACGTGGCCAACAAATTGCGGGGCAATGCTAAATAACGATGCCAGACAGATATTTAAGCGAATGTGGGTGCAACGTGCATGCAATTGCAATCCAAGTTGCAATTTAAGTTGCAAACATGTTGGACATCCCAGGCACCGGATGCGGATGCAATCTGCCCGAGCCTCTGAAGGTTTATCCGCCTCCTTCTCAGGATTTACGAGCACTATCTTACGTCCTGCGGCTTTAGCCTGGGCGTTGGCCAATCACTCAGAGAAACATGCAACATTTAGTATTATCTTTTTATTATTCTGAGATAGAAATTCTTAAGCGAATCCCAGCTTGTTGCCAAACAAAGATTGCATATTGCACAGAAATGAGTAATATCAGCAATATATAACATATCTTTTATGACCTAAAGGTTTGCGAAGCTTTCTTATGACTTCATTATCCACATGGCCTTGTTCCCATTTCCCTTTCCGATAGATGTGTTTTTCATATCTCAAAATGAAACAAGGAACTTATGCATATAATTATTTTTTATTGCAATATTTAAATCATGAGATGTGGAAGTTGTTTTCGATATGGCTTCACTGGAAATGTATTAACAACTTATGAGTAAAAGGGCTCCATGATAAGATAATGATTTTTTACCCTGCGTAAGGAGATGCTGGTTCTGGGTATTTTTCGCCAGTGTACAGCCACCGCAAAGCCATAATTAACCCTTTCTCACAAAGCCTGCGGCTGCGGACTTCGAATACACACAACTATGTGCCTTTGCAAGGAAGTTCTCTGAACGGGGACCCTGAAGTCATAAAGAGCATTATTACTCAAAGCACCCGAAGAGGGATCATACATAGTGGGTGGGGGTGTTGGGTTGGCGGTCGGATGACAGAGCGGAGACAAATGCATTCGGCTTGATTGAAGGACAAACTGACTGAGTGACAAGCCAGCGGGCGCCGCCGATTGCCAATTAAAAAAGCCAGCGGGGATAGGAACCGTGAAACAGGGAAATAAAAATGCAAAAAAATAGAGGAGCGAGGACACACCCAGGTTGAGAACGGAACGGGCCCTGGCCACTTTATAGCCTGCCTTCGGGGTTGGTCACTCTCTCGCACGCTAAATAATTTATAAATACATTTTCCTTAGCTGCGTATGAAAATTTAATTACGCGCCTTTTGTTTACATTTTCACAGGCCAAAGTCCAGCGATGAACCCTGGAAAAAACGGCGAAAACGAGTTCTCAGCACGCACTCCCATCATATTTATCGGGGCAAGGAACGAGGCTTAACTCAACCAGAAAATACAAAACATTTTAATAAAGGAATATCCCACTTATATACACCGATATTTTTACGAATTTGAATAAAGAGTGAGAATTAACTGAAACAAAACAAATTGAGTGAAGATATTGCGGAATACTTAATAAAAAATATTTCAAATCGTGACTCACTTTTCTTCGGGTTTACAGAGTTCAAGTGAAAATAAAGTGCTCAAGTAAATTTATGTTTATTTAATGGTGCATAACATACGTATGTTCTCACATTTCTTGTGTCGTTTATTAATGCAAATTTTTTTTTGCTGATAAAAATTTAGCTTGAATTTGTTGCAAATTGATATCTGAACTCTTTGCTGGTCTTGAAAAGTTGCTGATGGAATCGTTTGGGAACTCTGGAAACTGCATTGCCTTGAAAGTAAACAAAGTGCTTCTTTAGAATTCCTCTATATAGTCGGTAAATTGCAATGCAGAAATATATACGACCTAATTTATAGAAATGCAGTAGTAACAAAATGAACCGAAAACCTTCTACAATGCAAAATTTCGGCACACATGCCCGGTTTTTATAATTTACACGGGCAATAAATAAATTCCAAACATAAGCTTCGCCCCCCGAACAGATACAATATATATAAAACATTTTGTCTGCTTTGTGAGGTGGAGAGCGCTTCTCATTTTCGTTTAATTGAGAAACGCATTTTTGTTTGTTTATATTCCAGCGGTCGAACGCTTAACTTGGAATTTCAAGTACACATGTGCAAAATCGAAATCTATAAACATTTGCAGAATATTTATAATTCATATAAACAACCATGTATTCTCTATATGTTGCCATTTCTCTCAATAAGACAATAACAATTTGTATTGATACCTAAAGATTCAAACAATCAATTAAGTGACTGGACTTTAACTTGATTAATATTTTGAAGTTTAAACTGTGGCATGACAGTGTCACATGACAAATAATCTCAAAATAAAATCAATTTTTGTCTATTATTTTTAGGTGCTAGAAGATTAGATTGCATTGCGGATCATTAATGACAAATAATTAATTTTTTGCATTATTTCGAATAAAGAATTTAAATTAGAAAGTAATCTTTCTTTCTTATATTAAAGGAAAGGTTTATCTGATATTCAATAATCAATATTATTTAAGATTCTTTTATTAAATGAGTCACATATGAGAACTTGCCATTATTTGCTTAGGTTTTAAAATTTAGACTATTTTAAAACTGGAACTTTGTTCCCCACAGAAAGAGAAACTGAATACAAATATAAATACAATATTCATAGACTGTAAAGTCTTTATATGGAAATTAAAACTAGTCCCATAATAATTCAAATTGTGTTTTTGTTGGCAAATTTTATGTGCTTTTAAGATAACACACTTCGCAAACACATATAAATTTCACTGGGATCGGAAATTCGAGCGGGAGTAAAAGAGAAAGCTAAAACAACTTAAGCCGCTGACGTTGACGTGACGTCGACGGTGAGACTCCCGGTCTCCCGGGGTCGATGTACGGACCAATAAAAGCAACACCGCGCACCGTAAACGGCCTAACGTCCAACGCTTCGTGCACCGTCAGTTATCAGTGGGCCATAAGGCCCAAAAGGTGGCGAATAGAAGTAAGAAATGAGGATACGCAAACAAATAAACAAAGAAAACGGAGGCAATGAAAGGTAGCACAGAAACCAATTAAATATCACTTCAAATTTATTATAAAATAAACAAAGTTTATCTTGACTTATAACCTTAAGAAGTAGTTTTTTTTTATAACTCAATGCCAAATATTTATTTTATATTTTAAACGACTAATATTATAATATTTTTATTGTCTTAATTAACTTTTAATTTGTTTCAGTGTTTTGAAAAGTTTGCTAATATATCGTCAGCCAGAGAAATTTATTTAGAGAATGCTAAAGAGCGAGCTTCGCGCGGAGGCTGCTCCAAACAATTAAAAAATAGAGCTTTAAATTCCGCGGAGCATGTGATTTGACTTATTTAGGGCGTCAGAACAAATTGATACTGTGAAATTTTTATATTGATATTGTCAGTATAGGTGTCACACAATAAATAAATCAAAGCAGTACAGAGAAATGACAATTGAAATTATGAATTTCTGAGTTCAGAAAGGTTATTTGATTATATGGCCACAGAAAATGTGAATTATATTTATATTTTATTTTTTGATAATGTATTATTATTTAAATAATTGTTGAATAACAAAGGGCTTCCTTTTGTAAAATTTATTTGTTTAATATAGGTAATTTGCTAAAGTTCTTAAAATAATTAAAATGAATGACAAAAAATGTAAAATTCAATATTATTTTGTTTCGAGCATGCACTGTAATTATTTTTTTTCATTTCCTATAGAGTTTAACATTGTTTTTTTTATCTCAATCTTAATAATTTAATTCTATGTATTGCGGAAATAAATCGCTCAAACGCTTTATAACTTGGGAAAACCAGCTATGGGAATTTCTACTGTCAAAATGAATATTGTCGCGCGTTCTAGAGGGAGATGCAGCGTGGCGGCGGCGCGGGCGGTACAGTGGAGCCGGCCAAGGCCAGGGCGCTGCAAAAAAGGCGCAGGAGCCGGAAAGGGAAGCGGGCGAAGAGGCAAACAGGCGAGCAGGCATGCGTGCCACTGTGCCTGAACTTGTTCAAGGTCAGCCCCCAGCCACGGCGACAGAGACATGCAAAAAAATAGCAACAAAAAACGCAGAAAAAGAAGAGCAGACAACAACGCTACCTACAGTAAATACGAAAAGAAACAACAACGCAAGACGGCTGGCCAAGTTAAAGGCGATGAATAAAGAGCGCATAAGAAAAAATTCCACAAGCACACACTTGGATACCGGGAGAGAGCGAGAGCGAGAGTGGTGTGGCGTGCGAGAGAGAGCGCGGGGGCGGACACCGTGGCAACAACAATGAGATGCTGATAAGAAGCAACAAAAAAGGCGTCAAGTGCCAATTGGGAGAAGCCAGAGAGATAAAACCCAAGTGCTGCCGCTGCTGGCTCAATTAGTTTCTTAAATTTATTGATAAACATTTGATTTTTACCTGATTGGCGGTTGCTGTGCTGCGTCCTCCTTGGTTGGCACATCAAATTGGTTTATCCTTGCAGAGAGACAAAAAAATGGTTCACGTTAAATTTTTACTTATTTATCAATTAATTGCCAAAAAGAGGTAAGAGCACACGCACACATCTTTAGGTAACAGTTATTAGAGCGAAGTTGGAGCGAGGCACCGAGCGAGAGGGAGAGAGTGCTAATTCAACACACACGCTAGCTGTTCGAATTTGTTGCTTTTTTGGCATCAATTTTTGTTATTGGCAGCTTGAATAAATTTATTTAACACAATTTTCTAAGAGAGACTGCGACGCACGCACATACACACACAGACATACACGTACACGACGGCAGGCGAAAAGGAATGCAAAGGATGACGAAGAAGAAGAAGCAGGCTGAAGGATGCTGGGCCTGGATTTTTCTCTTTGCAGCTCTTTTCTCGCCCTAATGACGCCTTTTTGCACTTTAAATTTGTTGAAACATATGGCTTACTTATTTTTTTGGCTAAATTGTGTACTTGAGTGCCAGGTTTTTTGAATTTTTCACCGAAAACAAATAAAAACCACCGCCACACACCGAAAAAACACCGCTCGCTTGTGAACTACATTTATAATGAGGAGTTTGTCTACATTTAACACTTTTTAATTCAAAAGGCACCTCTTGGTTTTTTCCCGGCTATTTTTCGTTGACAATGCCCTTTTAGTTGTATTTTTTAAACATTTTCAACGGGAGCAACACGGCAGCGCGTCCGCCTTTTCCTTCTTTTTAAACAGAGTGACCGTTTGCGATTAAAACACTGAAACTCTTTGGGAAAATGAACGGGATTCTGCCTCCGGTGCAGCTGGTCACACCTGAAACGCCTTTGAAGGAAACTCCGATGTTGTTTGGCAACGATCGATGTTTTTATCATTACAATTGATTTTGTTTGATTATTGATATTAAAAACATCAGTTTCATTGATTTTTCTGGACTTGAAGCTCCTTGCATCGGCGTTGCCAGACTGATGAAAAATGGTGCGTAACTATGCTCTGCAATATTGTTGTCGTTTTTGCCGATAGTTGCAATATTGCACTACAATAAATATATCGATAAGTTATAAGTTATGATAGTTTACAAATCAGAATTTAAAATATTTGTACATTCGTAATCATTTTTCAGATAGCTAACCCATTAATAGCCATTGAAGCTTGTTTATAAATAAAAAATAGCTATCGACTATCGATAAGCATGGTGCATGGAACTTCCATCTGCAACATGCAACAAGCAATAAAAGCTTTTAGAACAAAGACTTTTTGGAAAAAGATGAGTGCACCGAAAAACACAGAGTGCGAGACTCCGACAGTCAGGGAAGTGCAGCAAATGTTTGCAGAACTCCTATGTCACGGCGACGATATCACTTGGGATCTGTAAGTATCTTTATTGGAATTTGTACTTATTTGTTTATCTCAACATGTCGTTGTGGTCCTTAGATACTCCGAGAACCAGGCAGAAATTCTAAAAAAAAAGGTCAAGGATTTCGAAGATCCTCAAGAAAAGTCACGTAGTTTACCTTATTGCTATTATAATCCAGGCTTTTTTAAATCCATATGGATGCAACGTAAGATAATATACTAAAATCTTGCAGTATGCAGTGCTCAATTAATCAATCATTTCCAACTATCAGGACAGTTCAACAATGGCCAATCCCTTTCAGCCTTATTTTTTGTGATGATTGTCGATAACATCTCGGATCCCAAAGAGGCCGAGGAAAGCAGATCTTGGTCCCTTTATCCGGTTTTCCGTTGCCGTCGTTGCGTAGGTAATAATAGGTTCTACATATGTATTTCAAGCTTATTTTCTGTAATCCCTACCACTTTTTCAGACGACAACACTGGGAGAAACTTTAGCAGCCAGGAGTGCTGCATGGTATATGTAACTCAGTACGAATCCTTCGAGGACTGGGACAAGTTTGTGAAATCGACGCGTTTGCCCAAGGGATACATGGTCACTCCGTTTCGGGGGGTCTACAAGCTGATCGATGGTCAGGTGGAGCTTAAAACGTATTATATTTGGGAACGTAGCAACACCGTTCTACCAACCGGCCAAGATCGCTGCATAACGCCAAAGTCCTTGGCAGCAGCTACCAAATGTCCTAGTCATGGTGGTTCAGCAGATAAGATTAGAGTTCTTGATGTGCTCCCTACGTCGAAGCTCTGCGTAGCTGCTTCTACAAGTACTAGTCAGGCTGGAAATATAAAGAAAGGCGTATACCAAGTTGGACTTCTCAGTGGCATATCTATAGTTCATAAAGTGATGGAATGGAGGATTTGTTCGTGCGACAGAATACTATATCTTCTCTTGGTAAGCGCGATTAGTAGTTATTCTTTTATTTGACTAAGTATTCTCCTTTACTTCAGAGCCAGCGCGAAGGCCAGAAATCCTCTGATGCGAGCGAACTCTCCGATTCCCTACTTTTATTTACTCACACTACTAAAAACCTCCAGCTGGCATTGGATATGATTAAAGAACAATCATATCGCAATGTCCTGGGCAACGAACTTAAGTATATATAAGTAATATGCATTTTACTTTAATATTCTAAATTCTGAAAATATTTACAGAAGAGTTTTTGATAAAATCTCTGAGGAGTCCAAACGCATTGAGGGTAAAGTGGATTTGATACGCAGCGCCAATGAAGTGCCTTCTAAAAGTGAGCTGGACAACATGTTTAAACCTAAATCAAAGGTCAAAGGTCGTTCCTCAAAAAAAGAAAGTAAAGAATGTATTAAACTGGAGGACTTTGATTCTGCTTTAAAGGAACATATTTTGAATAGAGAGAGTTTTGACGACCTGATCTCTAGCTTGTCTAACAACTTGGAACCGGAAATGCTTAAGCTTATTGTTAAGCTCACCCAAACATTTGTCGAAAATACTCGGGAGGAATTGTACCAGTTGTTGAAATATCATTTCCCCACAGAGACAATTATGTACCGGATCATTGTGTGTATCTTGAAACGCCATTCCGACTTAAATACTAAAAAGATTGAAGAGCAGTCTTCGGATATTTTGAGGCGGGTTCGATACTATTTTGCTTCAATCTGCCCCAATTCTCGGCTAGATCTCTTGACAAAATGCCCAAAGTGTGTGGGTTACTACCATATTTCTAAAAATATGTAACAATATAATATATTTAATAAAACTTAAGGATAAGTTTATCTTTAGAATGGAAATATATATATATATATATATATCTATATATTTATTTTTGAAAGCTTTGAGGGATTTTCCGAAACATCTGCGCGCCTCGTTTAAATATGATATTGAAATATCGATATACCTTGCCCGCAGATATTGGCTGCTTTTAACCAAACGACTTTGACAGGCGCTTTGGAGAAAACATAAAAATAATAAATAACTTGCACCAAAAGATGATGGTTATACTCCACAAAGCTCTTCAAAATTAGGTTATTTGAAAGGATTAAACATTTTTAAGATACACAGCTATCGATAAACGCAATGCATTGCAACTACCATCTGCAATATGCAATAGTTGATACGCATTAACAATACACGGAGGAGTGAGCCAAAGTTTCTTTGGCAAAAATGAGTTCCTCAAATGGCAAGGAGGACATTGTTGTTCCTACGGTCAGGGAAGTGCAGCAGATATTCGCCGAGATTCTAAGCCACGGCGACGATATAACTTGGGATCTGTAAGTAGTTTTGATGACATCAACCACCGCAAAAGTTTACCCTAGGGATCCCTCAGATTGTCCCATAGTCAGTCTGCAATACTAAAATCCAAAATCGCAGAGTTCCAAGACCACCCAAACCTACGGAGCTCCATCCATTTACCGATTTATTCCAAATTCTTTAATAGGATTTGGGATCAACGTAAGTCAATATAGTACATATAAACTATTTGTGTTTTCCAGCAAGAGATAACGATACTTTCTAGGAAAATACACAAATGGCCAGTCCCTCTCATCCCTCTTCTTTGTGATGATTGTGGATGATGTCACAGATGCCAAGTTGGCGGAACAAAGCAGGTCCTAGTATCACACTTGATAAATGCTTATTTTACCTATTCATTACTTTCCCAGAAGACACATCTGGTAATTACTGCAGCAACCTGCGGTGCTGTATGGTATATGTGACTCAACATGACTTCTTCGAAAACTGGGATTCGTTTGTGACTTCAGTTCGTCTGCGAGCCGGCATTATGGTGACGCCTTACCGAGGGGTTTACAAACTGATCGATGGTCAGGTTGAGCTGAAAAGCTACCTTCTCCCAGAACCGATCTCTTCCCGTCTGTTGCCAATGGGCCTAGATCGCTGCATAACACCGGAATCCCTAAAGGAATCCTCGATAAATCCTAGTAAACGCCACGAACGCTTTTATTTCGACTTGAATGCTTTTACTATACCCTTTATGCATCTGGAGAAATATTGCTCTGTCGATTGGATGCTCTATTCCCTATTGGTACGGACGTTTGAGTATAAATATATAGATACATATTTAATTGTTTAATATATTCATAAAGCTTCTTCGTGAGGGACAAACAAGCGCAGTTGAAGGTGAAATGTCCACATCTCTAGTTGTGTTTACACACGCTGTCACCAACTCCCGCCTGGCATTCGAAATGCGCAATGAAAAAGCTTATCGCAGGATTCTGGGAAATCATGTAAAGTAAGCTTTAAACAAATTTATCATGATTTAAGAGCTCATCTAGCTCTGAATATATATTTTTAGAAAACACTTCGACAAAATAGCCGAGGAATCTGAACGTATTGAGGGCAGAGTGAATCTCATACGCAGCGCCAATGAAGTGCCTCCGAGATATGAGCTCGATAAACTTTTCAGCAGCAAAAGGAAGAGGATTCAGGAACCCAGTGAGGCCAGCAATTCACCCCTAGACCTGACCACAATCCGAGTCAAAGGCGAAGCCATAAACTTGGAAGATTATGGCTCTGCACTCAAAGAACACATTATCAGTTCGGAGAGCTTTGAAAATCTAATCATATGCATGTCCGAGCACCTCGAGCCCGAAATGTTCATGATAATTGTGAAATTAACCCAACATTTTATGGAAATCATCAGAGAGGGGTTGTGGCATCTGTTGAAGTACCACATCCCCACGGAAACAGTTCTCTATCAGATTATTCTCGACGTAATTGAGAACCATCCTGAGCTAAATTTCAAAGAAGTCGAAGAGCGGTCTTCGGATGTTTTGAAGCGGGTGCGTTTAAATTTTGTCTTGGCTAATCCAAACTCGAATCCAGATTTTCTAACAAAGTGCCCGAAATGCTGTAATTTTTTTGATAAATTTGTAAATAAATTTGCGTGAATTTGGGAATTCTTAAAAATGTATATATTTATTTTATTATACTTCTAAAAAATATGTTCATATGACTCTAATTAGTTGGGTTTTTCTCGAAACTCCATTCCCGAAAGAATTTGATTATAATATTTTATTTGAATAATATTAAGATTATTAATTATAAAGATTTTTTGCCTTTAAGCTGTAAAAGTGGATATAAAATATTATTTAATATGTTTCTTATCCTATTTTTTAAGATCCGAGACTTTAAAGTTGCTATTGTAGATGAAGTGTGATCTGTAATTAAAATATCTGTGAATGTACACATTCAAAATAAATATAAATATTTTTGATGTCAAAAGTGAAATTTTAGGGGGAAAGTTTAGGGGTTTTTTTTAAACTTGTATTAATACTATGTTTTGAAAAAACATTGTAGATTTTATGATTTACCCAACAATTGCAACAACTTTTAAAACTTTTTGTGAACAAAGAGGTTTCCATGCCAAAATTTCAGAAAATGTTATCGATGCTTATGTATAAAAAAAACATTAAAATTAAGTAACAAAAAGATGTTTCTTCCTTATATTTGTGAAATGAACTGATTTTTTAAATTTAGGGGGAAAACTGGATTTTTTAGGGGGAAATTTCAACTTTTTGCGATTTATTAGGGGGAGAGACATATTTTCATCTGGCAACACTGAACCGAAAGTTTTTTTCTGGGGATTTCCGAATAAAAAATCAGAAGAAAATATGTCGCTTAAATTTAACGAAGCGCTGAAAATTCTTTCAGAAGGTCTACCTAAACCCTCGAATCCTGAGAGTAAACTATACACCCAAGATGCAGTCGAAATGTCCGTGAAGATAAATCTGGAACTAATTAATATGAATTCAATTTTCAAGGAAAAAGTGAGTGGCTGGATAGACACGTGTAAGTTGCAATTCTGTAGAATCTTTTAAAATGACTTGCCCCTGAACAACCTTTTTGTGATACAAAATTTACATACTCGAATATACATATTTTACAGGCACCTACCTTCAAAAGGATATTTACAAAATATGGATACCCCTTCTTTGCATCAACATGCCATTCAAGATAGAGCCTCGCTTAGTTGGGGGCCATCCATTCAGAGTCTATAGGCTCAAGACGTCTGCCTACCATCCAGCAGTTGAGAACGGATATGTCAATGGCCTCAAGCTAACCAAACTTTTTTGCTGGGATATGAGCCAAGCTATCCTAAGAATGGGCAAGATCAATTGTAAAAGTGGCAGGACATACAACTCCCTACACACTGAATTGTTCGAGCGTGACGGAAATCAATATTTTAAAATTGTTATCAAGGAATACGAAGAGCAGGAAGCGCCCTCAATATTGTATCAATTCACAATAAGTTTTACTTTCTCGAAGGAATCTAAAGTGTCGGAGCTCAAGGCAATTTTCGGCATGGAATAATTAAAAACTAACAATTATAACTACTCATAGCGTTAGGAAGAATATCTTCAAATAAATAATAATAATAATCATAATAATAAAAAAATAAACACATTTTTCTTCGGGACTCTGGACAATTTTAAACCAAATACAAACCTGTAAATTTTATGGAAACGCAGCCTAAGCTGGACTATATGCCTGAAAACCATAAATTCTCATACTAATATTAAATAAAACACATTTTAATCCTCAACTGGGTAATTATACTGGGTTTAATAAGTATAGTACATATTTATAGCGGAGATATACGTATATCAGAGTGGATCTACTGCTAGAGGGATTATCTTATTAAGTACGGTGGCCACCGGTGTACAGGATATATAGATACGTATTACATATTGACTACGACAAGACTAAGCCTAGTGATTCGGTTATGATGAATAGTTGTACATGAAGCGATCACAATTGTCAGATGGAGGCGTGTGCGTTGACCCCAAGGTCCTAACTTAGGGCTAGCGTCTTTTAGGCACTCTTCTGTTTGCTGCGCCGATTTAGCAAACTCGACAGATTGCTGAAGGGCAGCTCAAAGGCCAGGGAGAAGAGGATCGAGGCCAGGTAAACGATGACAGCGAATCCGCAGGTTACTACGCACTGCAATAAATTAAATGTGGATTTCTTTTTTTTGCAAATCTTATCTTGATTTAAACACTCACCAGCATGAAGGGATCCGCGTCCGTACTGGCATTTGTCAGGCTGTAGAAGAGGGCGATGACCAGCGGATTGAGCAGATAGATGGCGTAGGACAGCCGACTGACGTGCTGGAAACCCTTGGCCTCCAACAGTCGTGACCACCAGACACCGCGTCCCTGGCAACTGCCCGCCACCATCCAGCAGACGCTCAGGGAGAAGAACAAGCGTCCCATCACAAACAACGTGATGGCCATCAAGGGGCCCAGATCACGCTTCACAGTGGAGTAAATGCAGGCGAAGAACACCACCAGGGCCAGGTGCCAGCACTGCCGCTCCCTCGGCTCGCTCAGCTCCAACTGGAGGCGATTCTCCAGGAGAAGCCAGGCAGTGACAGCACCTAGAATATACGGTAGGACCCTTACAAAGGGCGACGTGTAGATCTCCGTGCCTGTGGCAAAGGCTGAGTCGAAGGACAGCTGAAACTTTATGCTCACCCCGATGCTATAGGACCAGGCAATGGTGGCCACAAAGGCGGAGGCCACCAGGGCTTTGACTACCTTCGGGTATCTGTAAAATGCAAAGCATATTAGTCCATGTTCCTGGCTGAACTTATAATCAACTCACTTTACATAAAGGAACAAAAGGGCACTGGCCAGGATGAAGAACTGCATCTCGCAGGCCAGCGACCAGCTCCAGTTGGCGCACATGTCCCGGTGATCGAAGAGGTTCTGGATGAATAGCAGATTGCGCCACCAGTGGCGGGAGCACATTTCGTCGAAACGCTCGTTGATGTGGTAAACCGAAACATCCCCAATGTAGGCATACACCAGATCCACGGTGGCCATAACCACCAGGTAGAGGGGTCCCAAACGAAGATAGCGATGGAAGAGTAGCTTGCCAAAGAGCTTCAGGTTCTGGACGAAGCCATTGCAACGGACTGTTTCCAGCTGCTGGGAGTTGCGCAGGAAGTTGTATGTTTGCAGGAAACCACTGAAACGTATTACATTTCCATTAAATATTTATTTATATTTTTTAAGAGGTTTAAAACCCACCTGATGGTGAAGAAGACATCAACGAGTAGCGGAGCCGAGGAGACGTACTGGAAGAAGGCCTGTTCCGCATACGAAATGAGCACTGTTTTATTGTGAACAGTGAAGTACATGAACCACACCACGTGGAATACCATGATCCAGATGGCACACACAGATCGCAGGCCATTCATTAGGGGTATCTCATTGGGACCGTTCTCACGCACGGCAAAGATCTTGGACCAGTTTCCGGGTACATCCCAGCAGGGAATGTATTTCTGCAGCTTCTCCAGCTGGAGAAGGGAGTGGAGTCCCCTCCATAATTCGGATTCAGCGGGAGCCAGCCCAGGATCGGGTTCATCAGAAGAGGGAGTGACTTTCTTGGCGGCCGTTAGCTGCTGGGCACAGAGCATCAGAGCGCCGGTGGCCAGAACACAGGCCACCAGCAGCCGGAAACTGGCCCTCTCGAAGAATACATCCTTCAGCTGCAGATCCTTCATATAGACCACCTCCGGCCGGATGTCAAAGATCTCGTTTTCGGTAAACATGCCTCCAGCCACGTAGTCTTGGGCTAGGCCCTTGACCTCCTCTGAACTGCAGGCTTTCGGCAGACAGAGTCCTATGTGGATGATCTGCTCAGACATGAGCTTTATTTCCACCTGCCACGGGGAGCTGTGCCTCAGGTAGATCACACGATAGTCCATGTCAAAGGGGGCTTGCTGGGTGATAATCCCGTAGTGCATCACCCGATCGAAGTTCTTCGACAGCGTTATTTCCACGGGTCTTTGGACCCCGCGACAAGCTTCCCGGCTTCCCAGCCAGTAGTTCTGGCCATAGACAAAGCCCGAGGGCTTAGTTCCCGAGGCATCCAGCACTGTGGGAAAGTACAATAGAGTTTAGGAAATTACATTTGTTTGAGGTAAGTGCTTAGCTAGCGGAATCTTAAAAGGTTCTCTGGTCTATGTTTGATATTTAAATCAATTGTGGACTCTGAAAGGGCCAGACTAAAGTATAAATATATGTTTAATAAATCTATGATAGCTGGCTAATTCTGTAAGCCACGTGCAGTAAGAGTCTATTGAGTTATCTCGCATCATTGGTCAGTTGGTCTGTGCTTACCTAGTACAAAAATAATCTGTTTACTATTCAAATTCCTCTAGATTTTCTTTAGAAACCCTACTATGAGTCATAAAATGTTTTGTTGGGGTTATCTGCTAAGTAAAATTCTCTTGAGTTTTAGAATTCTATAAATAACTTAATTTGTATTAAATATATATTTATTTAAATGGGTTATTCAAAGCTATAATTGATTCGTGATAAGTGATCTCACTATGTTTGTGTTATATTTTGCTCATTTGCTGCTTCGAGTTGTTGTGCAAATATTATTGAAATAAGCAGATAATTGTATACAAATAAAAAGTACACAGCTGATTGAAAAAGAGAATGTTCTTGGTGCATTTGTAGATCTGTTAAGCGTATATTTTCAGTAGGAGTTTCAAGTCTTAATGCTAAAATTTAAATTTTCAGGAAGCCCATTGTTTCATCATATTTTTTTATACAGTTTTTATGGCTGTTCGACCTTTTTATTACATTGATTTGAAATCTAAAATAATTCCCCTGAGGACTCTGCCAATTTTCTTTATCTATTTAATCCCCAAGTATCAACATAAGCTTGAAGTTTTTCGGGGATTTACCCAAACACTTACCCTTCATGGCCCACGGCTGCTTCGCGAGTATGCCGCGCTGCACTTGTCTCAGCTGCGCGTGGCACTTGTGGCTCACACTGCTCTCGTTGGCCACCTTGGTTAGCCCGAAGATCACCGAGGTGCGCGTCAAATGGGTTTCATGGGGCGAGCTCACTATCGGGGGGCTCAGTTCCATAAGTGCCGGTTCCTCCGGCAGCAATTGCGACTCATTGGAATGACTTTGATAGTGCGGCTGCTGCTGCCAGGTCTGCGCGTTGTTGGTCTGATTGCTGGCGCCCTTGGCCAAAACCGAGCCCAGCCAAAGGCCGAGCAGCATCAGCAGCGTTATGGCCCAGAGATATGGCCGAGATCGAGAGGTGCGCCTGATCTCCATGCCGCTGCCGTACTTAGTCACCTTGGCTTATTTATATTTGGTGTTTAACTCTATTAACTCAGTACGGACGATGGTATTGTGCGCGGTATTTGGACCGCGTTTGTTTGGCTATCTCAAATGGCTTGTTTGATTGCCGCTTTGCTGCCGTCCGTCGAAGGTCACCGTACCACGATTCACCTCACCTGGCCACGCCTCGTCTCGTCTCGCGTCGTCCCACCTGCGGTATTGATATTGGTTAATGTTTGTGCCAATTGATTGGGAGAAACTTTCGTTGGCCAATAAGCACGTTTTCAAACGCATTCGATAGTAATTTCCCACTGACACACATTGCATTTATTACTTTATTTACTAATTTTTGCACTTTGGCCCCTCGCACTCTTCACTTTTGCGATTGCATTAGAATATTACGCACGTTGGACGTTTCTTTACGAGTTTAAGATGAAGCAAGGTAGCGAATTTTTTGTGAAATTATTATTATTTAACGTCTTTAGTTTAAAGTGAGTAAATTTTATCTTTTGATTGCCGTTTTAATTAAGGTGAAAAATGGGATTTTGTAATATGTACAGAAAAAATATATAAGAAATGTGTCATTATTTTATGAATTTTTGAATAAATTGTACTTTTGGAACTTTTTGTTTTCATTTATGTGAACTTGGTAATATTTTTAATTAAAGAAAAAAAGATTTACTTAATTAAGTTCATCCATTACAATTTTAATTTACATAAAACCCAATAGCAAGCAAAATCACTTCACATTTTATAATTTCTTTACATTTAAGCTTTATATTTTTTGTTTTTAAAACACATTTTCCCCTGTGTAAGAAAGTAAACAACCTAAAACGAACAAACCCACGCACTACTCAACCCCTTTTCCTCCTCATCATCGAATTCATTATTAGAATATTACGCATACGACATGTAAGCCCATTACCGGTTAAACAATCGGCGAAAGAAAGGAGTGGAAAAGCGACGCGAAGAGAGAAGACTTATGCAACAATTAACATTTTTAACACAGGCGTTAATAATTTTGCATTAATTTTGATTTGACGGCGCCAAGCGGGGTAAAAGTTTTTTTGTTGAAAACGCAGCGAAAAAAAGATAAACAAAAGCCGAAACGAGACGACACAGTACGAGACTCAACCCAATTCCGCTGGGAGTGCGACTCAAACGGCGACTAAGGTTCAATTGATTGCCTGCGTTGCCCGGCGACGCGTATGTCTCGAGTGTGAGTTCGAGTTTCGGTTCGAGTTTCAGTTTGAGTTACTTTGGTTTTTGGGTGTTTTCGAGTGACGCAGCTCTGCGCAGGTGTAAAGGCAGCGACGTCGATTGCCACCGAGCTGACCACACACAATCGGTGGCTTGTTGTTGCTACCTTTCGTTTTCGCTTTGACACACAAACAAACTCACTCATACGTAATAATTCGCGGCTTATTGTTTATTATGACTAAAGGTGCGCGTAATCAAAATTAACAGACAAAAAGACGGCCCCAGAATCATGAGAGCTGCCTTTTGTGGCACAATCAATTTGGGTGCACAGAGAGAAATTTAAGAATTCTGGGAAAGATTAATAAGTCAGGCGATAGTGATAGGTACTTAAATAACCCTATAAAGTGATCTTCATTGAGGTCTTAGTATAAGGTTTACTTTAGGTACCTTAACGTTGTCAAATTCGTTAAAAATATATGTGAAATGTACACAAACAATTAAGCATAATAAATTTATGTGCAGCTTAAGTAATTTTGAAATTTCTATCTTTATAGTTAATTGAAAAACTATATTAATACAAGAAATGTAATAAATAAATAAAGGTCATATAAAGTTATAAATTTTAAAACAAGTTTAATAATCTCACTGACATATGAACAGTAAAACAATCTTAAGGAAATCCAATTATGTAACCATATAATCTAAAAATGTATTACTATTCTTCAAAATTTTCTTTAATCTGCTTATAATTTGCCATAATTTATTTTGAAATATAATCAACTTTTATATGTAAATATATGTAATTTTTTAAAGACTCATTAGCCTCTTTCTTGGTTTTATATTAACTAAAATTTATATAATTCTCTTCAGTAATTACTAGTCTTTAAGAACTTTTTATTTATGAACATTAAAGGCTCATTTTTTTTGTCACTGTGCATGGTTAGCGCTTTTTGCTCGTTTTCTCGCTTTCCTAAGCGATCTTTTTGTTGGTTTTGCATAATTTAGACGCCGCTTCTTTTGTGGCAAGCGCAACGCGCGACTCGACGCCCCTCGGAAAAAACATATATACAAATATATACATATGGACCCGTCTATTGTGGAATTTCGAAATATATTTGATCTGCATTTACATAACATCAGTGCGGCGGAATCGGTGTGCGCGGGAGAAAGAGTGCGATGCGGATCCACACTGGAAGGCCAGCTTATTGGACAGTGTTTGGCTGGACGCTCCTCTGATCAGAATCCAATTAACAAGTCTTATTTGCCAAGAGAGCACAGAACTGGCTGGTTATTCCCACTCAACTTACTGGTACTTAAATGCTCCTCTTGTTTGACTTAAAACTTATGTATTTTTTATGATCGAAACTTGGCGAGTGCTTTTATTTTCACTTTTTCCTACATTCCGGCTGTAGTTAAGATGGCTTTTATTGAGACATTACCGAGATGAGATCCGCGTGCCTCTGATTTTTTTTCTTCACCGATTTTATTTGACTTTTTTCTTTCGCCGAAGAGATTTTTTTCCACCGAGAGTTTAACTTGGACTTGGACCGACTTTCGTTTTCGTTTCTTTCGCTGGCTGATAAAACGCACTGCACAACAGATTAGCTGACTCTTGCCCGTGGTCTGGCCCTGCAACTTGTTTGTGTTTTTTGCTGCTTTTTTTTTGGCTCTTTGAATTTTTGTCCGTTTCTGTTGACGTTAACCGAATTTCGTTTTCATTTTCGCTGAAATTGTGATGATGATGAGGGCCACGACGCGTGCAACGCTTTGGTAACAACTGTGCGCCGCTGCATTTTGGCTCAAAGTTTTATAAACTTGGTCGCTGGTCAACTGAGCCGACCGCGGGCAGCGACGTAGACGGCGCAGCAGCCGAGAGATAAATCAACAATTGGAATTTCAGTCTCAAGATCAACAAAAGGCGAGAGACCCGAAACCCGAGACCCGACAGACACACTCTCGACTCGACTCCCTTACGCGCCCGAGTCCGAGCTTCAGTCCGGATTTGTCGCTGGCCGGTGGTCAATAATCGAGTCTTTTAATGTTTTTTTTTTTTTAGCTCGGCTTCGGCTCCTCGCCTCGGTTATTGCACGCACCTCGAAGACCCGATCTCTCTTTCGCTCCAGCGTCGAGTCGAGTCTCATTCTCGGACCATCCAGGCCCTTCAATCAATCAAAAGACTCAATCACGTGTCGTTTATATAAATGAAGGCAAAATGTATAAGTGGCGTTGATTTATTAGGCTCGAGAAGAGCAAGTAAAGAAAGCATTATTTTATGGATTCTTAAGTTGCCATTACATAACAAAAACTATGTATATTAAACATGAAAATATGACATAATGTTTTCAGTACCTGTAATTCATACCTTTGTACTAATAATATTTTTTTGAAGCGCATTCTTTTTCCTTTAATGAAGCTAATTCATTTAAGTACCATTTTTTCACCTGAAAATCTTGTTAAAAATACAACAATCTCTTTCCGACGAGCATCTTGCGAGTGCATTGATAAAAGCTTTAATTAATTATATAAATACAGGATCCGTAGGTTAACAAGCCGCTTTAAAATGATATTTTAATTGGGCTTATGTTACTTATTTTAAGGCTTGAGGTCAGCCGGTTTCTGTGTGCAAAAAATAAAGGTTGTAATTTTCTTAGCGATAAAAGACATCTGACGAGGAAGTTATTACGTTTTAAATTCAGCTGTTTAATTATACTTGTGACAGAAACCATTTGAAGCTAAATAAAAATACTCATTAGCCAAGAGAACAGCGTAAAGAAATAGTGAACTTGAACATAACTTAAATAATATGTAAAGAACAGTAAAATATCATGCCATGTTTTGTATTTTTAACTAAGCTTGACAGTCAAAGAAAAGTTTTAAGCCTGAGATTTGGTTATATTTTTTATTATTTTAAATTTACAGAGAATAAAAATATTAAATAATAAAAACTATACACATTCTTGACTAGCATCACAAGACGAGTCGATTTAGCTACAAATCTTACAGATTATAATAACTACGGTTATCTTATCTTCTGTAAAGAAATTAAGTTTCAAATATTTGCTGTTTTAATAAATAAATAGTAATTATAACAAAGTTTACATTTAAAATTTATTAATTTAATATTAATTTCAATTAATTTTATTTATATGTATGCGCACTGCTTTAAAAGTATTATAACAAAATAATCTAATAAAATTTCCTAAAATATTTTATTTTAAATTTTTGGCGCTTAAAAAAATTAAACAAAATTACTCTTAAATTCCCACAGAGGTCGCTGCAACGCCAAGCTTCAGCCCACCTGACGCTCTCACCTGTGGGAAGCTCAAAGCTTTCAAGCTCCGCTTAGGCGCGAGCACGATCGCCATTGAGATCGCCGCTCAGTCGTGTTGCGCCGCTTGAGAAAAACAGTTCGAAGACCGCGAGACGCGCGCATGCGTTTTACCGCCCAACCGCCCACCGCCCGCCACCCCCGCGAGAGCGAGACAGAGAGGCAGCTAGAGACAGACAGGGATAGAGGCAACTACTACTACGCTCGCTGCTAGCCAAAACTAACCGAAAAATAAATCGTGGGTGCTAAAATGAAACCGAAAAACGCACAAAATTCATGAAAATATTTCACCCAAAAGCTGTGCTTACTTCATGTGCGTATGTGTGTGTTGGTGTGAGTGCGCGTGTGTATGTGTGCGTTAACAAGTGCAGAATAAAAAATCATAAACAAAACAACAAAACGGCCAACAAGTTTTTTTGCGTAGAACCGCAAAATTCCAGGTAAACAACAACAGCAGCAAAAGGCAGCCGTGTGTTTTTGTTACCAATATTGCTGCTGTATTGTTGCAACTCGTTTCGGTTGTTGTCAAAGCCACACACAAAGCGGGTCAAATGCATAAATAAATGAATGAAACGAAATGAAACGAGGGGCGATGAGAAGCGAAAAGTTGTTATTATCACTTGGCCTGAAGCGAAATTAATTACAGTGCGCATTGTCACTGCAGAAAGTAAATATACAAAGGCAAGAAAGCCAGAAAAGAAAGAAGTATCTTGTATCGCAATCAGTGAAGTTTCTACAAAGTCTCGCGAGTATCTTCTGCTCTTCATTCGGAATACAGCCATCCCACTCGCTCGTGCTCGTAGAGCAGCTCGAAAAGCTCCGCTCGGTGCGGATCCATAAACAAATGAGTGTACTATCTGCTGGATGCGTTTGCCACCCGAGCACCTGTTGCTTCAAGTAAGCACCTCTGGATCGTCACCACCAATGGCTGCTAAAGTAAGTTATTATTTGTTAACCAAAAGCGGGGGTATCTGATTTAAGAATATATATTAAAAGTTGAGTTAGTTTTCTACATTTCTTACTTGTTTTAAGACAATTTGTGAACTAGTTTTAGAGTTGTAAGGGAAATTTAAGAAAAGCAAACTAGGCAAAAATAATTTACTTTACCCTAACGAAAACTTGAGCTTAACAATTTCAAATAACTATGGTTTTATGTTCTTATTTTGGATATTTAATATACCTTTTCATACAACATAGTTCACATTTACAACATTTTTTAAGTTAATTAGACAATATCAATGTTTTAGTATTGTTTTTTTTACTTATGTTGAATTGAAAAAGAATGAATTGAATTTTAAGGGGTTTTATAAAGTCAGTCAGCCAACCATATTACTTACTTAGTATATTCATTAATAACAAATGATATTTTTGTAAACTCAGCTTCTCAACAATAAAACTTCATGGTTTTGGAAACATTGACCAAAGTCAACTATTTCCAATGTATCTAAATTATTTCTCCTTGTAGAAAGTTTATGAACATGTAACTTAATATGGGAATATTCAATCCACAATTATTTCTCACGCCTTCAAACCTTACCATATCCTTCCTAAACATTGGTTTTGCTTAAACAAATAAGTAAACGCATTTTTGTCTAACGTTTACATCCATGTTGCCCCCTTCCACAAATCAATACCCGAAAGTACTGACCATCTGCATGGTGCAAGGTATCAAAGTATCTTACCAATTCGGTTCTCACGACACAAAATCTGTGGGGAAAAACAACAAAAGTACAAACACTGTGTTCAGACACCTTTGAACTTTAAAACGGGAGAGTGCAAAATCAGCCAGGCAGCGTGTAACGGTGCCACAGCCGAAACTAAAGCCAAAAGCAAACAGACATCAATGAGCAATTGGAAAAAAAATACAAAACTTACAAAAAAAGTAAAACAAAACATTAAGACGGCAACAAAAAACAGACCGAAACCGGGCCCACAAAAAAGGTTCCAGGCAAAAAACAACTGTTACAGCACCAACAAAACTGAACTCAAAACAGTGGGATAAATAATATAAATATTGCAGAATTTTTAGGAATTATTAATAATAATTGGGAAAGTTCATAGAAGCTGAAAGAACTTTCAAATAAATAAAGAAATATTTTTTTTAGACTCTTGAAAGAGTTTTATGCTTGTTTAGAAATATTTAATAGTCAAGTTAGTTAGTTCAGCTTAAATTTTGCGGTCTTGTTAGGACTGTTACCAGTTTATTTTGCTTTTAATCGATCTATAGTTTAATCTTGATCACTTATGCTTTCCCATCCACTGTGCTGACTGCGAGTGAAACTGCATTTAGTGGCCATGTCTCTAACTGTAATGGACATGGACAATACAGTCGCTTACCACGGCGCACTTGTCGCAAAACAGGTTTAATCTCACAGTTGCGGCTGGTTCTGCGGTTCGCCGAGTTATATATGTATATATTTTTTACGATAGCCAATATATGTGTTTATTAATGGCCCATGCATTTTTCCATATTTTCCTGCTGACCTCCGACGAGTCGGTCTGCAGGGGCAAAATGGAATCACCTTGCCGTTCTAATTTGCCAACTGCCACCGCGGGTTGCAATAATTGGAGCGTGGCTAATGTGCGGAGGAAAAGGCCAGGGGTCGGGCTCATTAGCTGGAAGCTGGCCTAAAGAGATACGCCTCCAAGAAAGCCAAGTCGATCGAAAAAAGAACGGCCTACTTTGCTACAAGAGAACAAAAGAAGAGAGGTTCTCTAGGTTCTTAAGTATTGAAGTTTATAATTTTTGACTTTGTAGAATTTATTTCCAGGTATATTAGTCTGATTTTACTTCAGTTTCCTCTTTATTCTCTCTGTGTATACCCAGCTAGAACTTTGCCCGCTTGCATTGTTGGCAGCTTGTTTAACATTTAAAAATAAACTTATCACAAATCGTGTAAACACAACGCAAACAGCGAATGCAAACTGAAAACTGTGTGAACTTCTATTTTCCTCTAAGCCCGGGTGGAAATTGAAAAGTTGTTTGGCCAGCCACGGTGTTGACCATAACCATAACCATAATACGGTGGCAATTGGTAGCGGATGGCCAAACGGAGAGACGCCACTGATCTGTCCGCCAACGGATCGTCGATTCGCGGCGATCGGTAAGCGGATCGAACCCAGCTGGTAACCGGACACTGGCCAACGATACTACCACGACGGAGCATCGCCGGCTAATTGCATTGGAAATGGATGCTAACGGGGCCGTTAATGCGCCGTCAATGGAGCATTAAGTCGCTAGTTAGCCGCCACTTGTGGGTCTTCGTTATGCAATAGCGTTGCGGAGATTGTGGCCGCTATTTTTTATGCAGTATTTGCCGGCGTTTTGCCTCTTGGTGACTCACTCAGTTAGTGGTTTCGGGGAATGGGTTATTTGCCTAGGTCTAGATACAGTGTGACCTAGGATAAGGGAGTTATAAAATATATATATATTTATCTTAGAGATTTATATTGTATTTGT